TGTACCTCAGACCATTTTGATTATAGTATGGTGTTATCTAATCAACATTTGGACAGTATCAGTATCATTTCAATTGATTTGATTTATATTCACACGAAGAGCTACTTAATTGCAAGCAAAATTTAGTCTAGAATACTTTCATATTTACAGTACAATACAATACAATAACACAGTTGGAAGGGACCTTGGAAGTCTTCTAGTCCAACCCCCTGCTTAGGCAGGAAACTCTATACTGTTTCAGACAAATGGTTGTCCATTCTCTTTTTAAAAACCTCCAGTGTTGGAGCATTCACAGCTTCTGGAAGCAGATTGTTCCACTGATTAATTGTTCTAACTGTCAGGAAATTTCTCCTTAGTTCAAGGTTGCTTCTCTCCTTGATTAGTTTCCACCCGTTGCTTCTTGCCCTGCCTTCAGGTGCTTTGGAGAATAGTTTGACTCCCTCTTCTTTATGCCAACCCCTGAATATTGGAACACTGCTATTTGTCCTGTAATAAGTGGTCTTCATTTCAAAGATATGTGAGACTTCAAAATATTGCAAAACTCTGGTGATGTTCTTACCATAGGATTATCAATTAAATCAGAGATGAACAAATACAGTTTACAGGTTGTTTGAGTACCCTAATAATGTAACACAGGTGTCCAGGCTCTCTCCTAAGCTGTCACCAAAATTCTTAGCATAGTCACTGCCAAAATCATGTAACAAACTGTCTTTTTAAATCACTTTCAGTTGTGTATTGATTCACGTTTTTGCTGACTAGTTTTTACATTCCTCTATTCAATTTTCTCATGTGGTTATCATCAGATTTTTAATATGTTCTTCTAAGATCAAATGCAAAAGTAATCCACCTTGAAATCGGCAGGCTATATCTGTGGGCAAGTAACCTATACTCATTACTAAGCTAATTCCTGAATCTATTTTTATGGTTTCTAAAGACATCATAAATACTGTCATTAAGAACTAAAGACAGGGCTTTCCATATTCAAGCAAGAATTTTTTTTTTTACAAGTATACAAGACAACTACAGGAACAAAAATCACAGAACCATACAACTCCGAAATCTCACCCCTGTCCCTTTAAATGACATCACTGGTCATGATTTTATATTTTACATTTTGCATGTATACTTTGTGTTTTTATTGTTATTTTTTTCTTTTTAATTATTTATTTGTTTATGTTGTCTGCTACCAAAAGTTCGGCAGTCTTATAAATCTTAAAAATAAATAAATACAATATTAATCCATCAACTGCTGTCCTTGTTTCCATAAAATACAGACCTAGCCGCCAAATTGTTTGCTCTGATTACTAATTTAGGGAGAGCCAATAAATCTGACTAAAAAGGATAGACAGGTCTACATCCTTCAAGGGCTTCAATTTGAATGTCAATACTTAATGAAAAGTAAAGGAGAAGAAAGAAAGATGAGCATAGAGGATGAATGTGAACAAATTAGTTAGTATGATCAAATAATTAAATGCAAGTTTTCCAAGAAAAAAAATGTATTCTGAACCACAAGAATGTTCTGGGAGGATGTTCCTGAGATAGTCAGGAAGAATAAATACATTCATTAACATAATCATCCTTGAGATGAAAACATACATTTTAATCCTTGGATTAAAATAGTGTATTTGAATCTCTTCTACAGATATGGTCAGAATTAGGCCATGAATATATTATTAATATACTGTATCTCATTTATTTTTCTTGGATTATCACTACCTTTTCTCAAACTGTCTTGCTTGAATGAATTCTCAAAAGAAATTTAAAAAGCTTTAATCTTAGATATTGCCATGTCTGATGTTTTTCTTATTCAAAGACCAGTTTTAAATTTAGTTATCATGCAGAAAGGTGAAACAAGAGAGAGAGAGAAAAGAGCCCTTATTCAAAGTAGACAAATCTCTACTTCATCCAGAGTTCTGATCCATACCAATTAATTAATTTCCAGATATTCCTTCCAAAACCTTATAAGCTATGAGGAAGATGAAAATGAGAAGCATTAAAAGGATATCAAAACACATTAAATACTTAGATAAGTAGGTCCAGGAAATTCATACCTTAAAGACAAGCGTTTGTTTTTCTTCTCTGTAACCACTGGCTCCAATTTTTGATGTGGCAATAATACTGGCTTCCTCTTAGGCAGATAAGACAAAGGGATATTAGGACCAATGGGTGGCAGGAAGTGATGGCACATGGCAGTAGTGACTCTCCAACCAATGCATTGGGGTGACAAGAGATAGATAAAATTTGATGGCTCTTTTGATGAAAGGAAAGTGTTTATTTGACCTTTGGCTTCAACCTAGAGGGGAAAAAAACATACCATTTATTGCCTAAAACAAGAAATTATTGGGCAAGTTGAGCTATATACCTAATACCAAAGGAGATTTTGAATTTTTTTTAATTCCTTTGAGTCGCTGTTGACTCCTGGCAACTGCCTGCAATTTTCCTAGTAAGATTTCAAAAGTGGCTTACCAATGCCTTCTTTCTAAGGCTGAAAGAGAGTGAGTGGCCCAAGATTACCCAGATGGCTTTGTGTCTAAAGCAGGACCAGAGCTCATGGTCTCACAATTTCTACCTGATGCCTTCACCACTATACCAAACTGGCTTTCCTAAAGGAGACACATCATTTTAATTTACCAATGATGCTCTATTCAGGAAGGATGCAAAAGATGTCATGTAGTAGGTGATAAGTATAATATTATTTTTCATTTCGGTTCTTTGAAGCCCAAGCAGATTTAGCTTAATTTGAAATGCTAATGTTGATATCATTTATAAACTTATAGAAATATTAAGAGGTTTAGCACAAATCAACAATTTCCCAAAAATATTTCCAAAATGACCTATTTTGAGATATTTTGTCAACATTGCGATTCATATTTCTCACCCTATGTGCTGGTGGCAGCACACATTTTAGGATGTTGCTGTGCTTCTATGTTTATCCACATATTTGATTTATTCGTTTTGTTTCTGTTCTGACTAGTACCAAAGTAGTTAACAAAAATATATAGAATATAAAAGGTTAACAATATATTAAAATTCACATCAAAATAGGCACCAAAGTAGTTCAGAGATTAACATTGTGGCAATTTTTTTATATGCTGAGTGGTCAGTTCCAGTCTTCCATTAAGCTCTGTATTGGGATTCATTTCTATCTGCCACAGTTTTTTTCCTATGGAGTTTGCACTTTGGTCATATTTGGGGAATCCAGGAAAAGGGAGATTTATAAATAGAACCATGTGGAGAGTTTATGTCTCATTAGAATGAATTGAGAAGTGGACATGGATTGTGTGGCACAGTTCTTTTTCTACACTGACTATGCCCTCATTTGGATGCAATTGTTTATTTACTCCTTGGAATTACTACTTCCATTTCCAGAGACTCTGGGCATGCTAACAGCTATATGCAAAAGTGCTTAACCTCTCAAGAATTAAGGAAGCTTAATCAAGCTGCTATTAGGATACATTATAGCCATACAAAGTTCTTCTCAGAGCATAGACCACCATTTGAGGGACTGCCAGACCCAGTTTAAGTATGGAGAATTAGAAGAAGAGAGAATATGGGCTTTCCAATTTTCTTTCAACAATCTGCATCTGAATAAGCCACAGAGCAGACAAGAAGGTGATCTCATCATGCTCTTAACTATACTGTGATGAGATGGGTTTTTTTCCTTAAAGTACAGAGAGAGAGAGAGAGAGAGAGAGAGGGAGGGAGGGAGGGAGGGAGGGAGGGAGGGAGAGAAATGCAAATGTACAATATGCAAATCTATGCTGTTTTTTTGTGAAATATTTCTTTTTTTGAAGTCAAGGTGTAAGTGGGCATACACAGAATTCAATAAAACTGCTTTGATTTACTTTACAGGAGAAAATAAAAAAAATATGACACCCCATCAACCAAGTGGATAAAGGAACGTTTCTGTATTTAACTGTAATTACTGTCTAGATTCACTGTAGTAATCTGGACAATATTTTTTCTAAATAAAATCCATAGAGATTTAATTATTTTATTTACTCACTGTTATATACTATTTACTTATTATACTATTTACTTATTATACATTATTTACTTATTTACTATTGTATGCTTTTACTTATTTATTTTATACCTTATTTTTAAATAAGATGCTTTTACTTTTGGGACAAAACCCTATTACATTACAATAGCTGAACCTCTTAGCTTCAAAGTGTATGCAGTGTTTTAACCAGCTCCATTGTTATTCTTATAAGGACAATGGATTTTTCTTCCAAGCTGAGTTTAAAATACTAGAAATAACTGATGACTATACTAATACATTAAAAAAAAACTTTTATGAGTCAGTTAGGCTTCCTTTTAAATCTTTTAGCCCTTATAACAGTACACAGGTTGAATAGGAAATGCTTTAAAAAAAAACTTAAAGTATCTTTAAATACAAAATATCTCTATTTTGGTATAACATACTTATTATTACACTGTTATGTTATGCTACTAGTTCAGATTTCAATACTTTTCAAATATAGTAGGATTAGTTTGGGATGGGTGGGTTATCTTGCAATAGCATGATAACCGACTCAACAATAAATCTTGCACAAGAGAAATGTTGAGCATTAATTAGAGATTGTATTTTCTGGAATCCACCTTCTCTTAGCACTAGATAATCCTATTTGATTTGTCTTCTACTCTTTTTAGTAGAGCATTTAAAATTGCTTCTGGGTTTGCTAATAGAAAAACGGTCTCTTTTATCTCCTTTTTGTTTTCTCTCCAAATTTTATGAGATTAGCCTAAGAATAGAAATAAGCTTGACATAATTCTTGGTACTTATTCATACTTCCAAACTGGATATCCAAAAATAGTTTGTTTCTTTATTTCCAGAACCTTTGAGAAAGTCTGTAATCTACATCATGTTCCATTTAAGGTGGCCAACTTTGCTCAACCAACCATAATTCAAATCCCAGGTACATCCCTCTTCTCTCTTGTTTTTCAAATTTTCAGACTGCATTCATACATGTTGCACAGCTATCATAAAATATATACCACTGACAGAGCTTTTGCCAGATGACATTTGACACAATGTTTTACAAAAAAAAAACAAGTGATAAGACATCACTTACTATAAAAATAGGGAAATCAGTCCTTGGTGGCTAATTCATATTCTTGTTCTTCAGAATAAGAAATAAAAAATAAGTAAAGTCATATTTTATAAAGTAACTCTTGTCTTATTGAACAGTTTATGGTGTGATGAATGTCCAGTTGTTCCTCATTTATTACTTTGGATCCAGCTGTCTTCCCTGCTCCAGGCACAAACAATATGCTATCACTGGGGAAAATATGAGTATAACTAACATGATTTCTGTGACTGGAAATTTAAGTTATGATTCTAGAAATTTAAGTTATGAAACTAGTTATACTTTTGATTTAGAATTCAACTCTAGATGACTCCATTTCCCCAGAAGGCTCAGTGTATGTTGTTCCATCTCCCAAATCATTTAAGAGTCAGAATTTCTTCCACACTATAAGTGACAATACTGTAACTGGGACAATACCCATATGAAAGAGTTCTCTCAGAAAGAGAAAAATGCACTTCATTTAACTTTTTTCTTATGGTTCTTCACATTTTAACTTAGGCAGCCAAGGCTTTCGAATATCCACTCCAAAGAATGGCATATGGCATTCTAACATTAGAGAGAATGAAGCTTATAGCCACAAATAAGACTCCAAACAATGAGAGCATGGCATCATTTCTGCACATAGAAAATAGATAGAATTGTTGTGAGAATGGAAAATTCACAGATGGTGTTCTAGAGAAGTAGGCAAAAACATGGCAACTAGAGACATTCCTTATGGAAAGAAACCAGGCCAGAATGCTTCTGCTGTCTGCTCTGTGGCCAAAATAAACTTCACTGTACCATGGGGTAACCCCCAAGAGTGAATCCAAGGATGAAAACGGCATACAGTACTATTGGCATCAAAGCTGTGACTGAGGGAAGCAGCATCTGCCATTGAGTATTATTCTATAATGATAGGATTTCTTGAACAGCCACTCTCAAATTATGGGAAAAATCACTTGGGGGAAAAAAAATCCTTGAGATGAGCTCATTTTCCACTGGTATTCATTATAGCTTTTGTTCTTTTGTGCTCAATTCAGCAGTGACCACACCAAGAGAGAGATTGAGAAATAGGCAGGGGGAATAAAAGTAAAAGGATTTACTTAAAAAGGAGTCTCTCTATAATAACCAGAAAGAGAGGGTCAAAAAAGAACTGTCACAGATAAGAAGTGAGAGATCTTTTTTGAAAAAAAAAACCCAACACTTTATCTCAGTGTTTTGTGTATTGTGAGGCAGATGGCAGAAAGCACTTAGACATGATTCTTCTTCAGTTTCCACCAGATGCTTTAGGACTGCTCACAAAAGCCAAGTTGTTATTCCAGGTTTCCCAGGAATCATTACTAACTCAAACTATTGTGACTAAGTTCAAATTATATAGTAATGTTCCTCGCTTCTCCCCCCCCAAATATGTTCAAAAACCGGTAAGTGACAACCCTAACTACCCAAACTAAGACCCTAACTTGTTTTTCTTATTCAAAAGTCAGTTGCACTTTGAAGACCTTGAAGTTTGAAAATTGAAATTTGAAGACATTGAAATTGAAAAAAACATAGAAAGACATTGACTTGAAGACATATTAGAAATTTTTACAGATCCTAAAATCCACTGAAATTATGTTAGTAAAAGTTAATGGCAAATCACCAAAACAATCAAGGTATAATTTTCTGACACATTCGAGAAGAAAACAAATATTAACATTAAACATCATAAAGATGTTTAATAGCAGTGTGTTTAATAGCAAGCTATGATCCAAAAACCATTGGGGTTTCCCAAGACCCCCTTAGGAGTCCACTGAAAAAATAACTGTGTATTAAAATGCTATTATTCAGATCTAAATAATCTGTAGCAGAGGTTCTCAAACTTTACCAATTTTTAGCACCCTATTTTTACCTGGTGCCCCTAGGTCAGCTTTGTGAACCACCTCAAACGAGTAGTTCATACAGTACCAACAAGTGTCAAATATTGCTGTGTCTTTGCCTTAAAAAGTTTGAAATAGGAAAAATCTAAATCCCTCTCAGTAACATTTTTTCCATTATTTTTTAATTGACAAAGTGACCAAAGGCCAGTTTCTATGATGCAGAATAATCCCTATTTATCCCACTATCTCAGATGGCCAACCTCCACCTGCAAGTTTGCTGCAGTACCTCCAATAGCAAGCACAGTTTGGAAACTATGGACCTATAGGAAAACATATGAGTGATCTTAGCAATTACAGTGGAACAT